ATAAAAATTCGTGTTTTCCCCTGGTAACAACGTGGTCCAAACAACTTTTCTGGGGCCCTAAGTAACAGTTCGGGGGCCCTCTAACAATTCTGTGTCTGCCCCTATAAAAATTTGGGGCCCAAAACTAATTTCTGGGGCCCCTAAGAAACAGTTTGTGGCCCTCATAAAAATTTATGTGCCCCTGAGGGAAAACGTTTTTTTGGCCCAAAGTAAAAATTTCTGTGGCCCCATAAAAAATTCGTGTTGCCCCTATAACAATTTGTGGCCCTAAAAAACATTTTGTCCCCCTTAGTAAACAATTCTTTTGGCCCTCCAGTAGAACAATTGTTCCTGTGGTCCCTGTGTGTCAAACGAGTTTCTGTGTCTGTCCCTGAATAACAACCTTCCCTTTGCGCCCCTCATTAACAAACGGCCTCTTCTGTGTCACCCCCCCCCCCCCTCTGAGTAACTATTCTTGCTGCCCCTCTCTCGTAACATGTTCTGTGGCACACCCCCCCATCAGTTAACAAACTTCTGTGTTCCTTTTTAACATTCTGTGTCTGCCCCGTGCAGTACAGCAGATTATGTGGCCCTAACCACCGTTTCTGATGCTCCCCTAGAGTAAAAACAGTTCTGCCCGCCACATCGTAACCCCCCCGTGTCTTGACTATTTTTTCTAGTGGAGAAAACTAGTCGCGATGTCCGCGCGATCCGAAGGTATCTGCTGCCCTAATTTTAATTTTTTTGTTTTTTCAGTAAACATTCTGCGTCTGAATCCCTGAGTAACAATTTGTGGCCCTAAATTATACGTAAATCTGAATGGCCCCTAAGTAAAGTTCTGTGGCCTTCACTTATCCGATTTTCGCTCAATTCTCCTTAGTAACATAATCTGATGAGCTAGAATCCAATTATCCCTCGTGGCCCTGGGCACTAAAGAATTCTGTGACCTTGTCCCAGAATAAAATATACAGCACTTCCAATGTGGGGGCCCTAACTCAAGGTATCTGTCGAGCTCCAAAATGAAAACGTTTGCTGGTGGATTTTTACTAACCCAATTCTCGAACCCCCTGAGTAATGTTTCTCTGTCCACAAAAGTATCGTTTCTGAGTCGCTAGCTCATAGTCCCATAACTAAACCAACTGTGAGGTCTTGAGGACCACAGCTGAATGATTGGAGGCTTATAGAGTGTAAGAATAAGTTCTAACATTTTGGTTGTCATTTATTAGCAAAAAATGTATAGAGTGCTGGCTGGCTGGCTGTATAATAAATAGACCTAATGTTATGAAAAATTGGTCCATTTAACACAAAGGAATGCATTAAATATATAACCCCGAAACCTTGTCTGCGTGTACAATGAAAAAACATCCCCGCTTCCGTCGAAACACAGGTGTCCATACCACGGCCCTTTGTAGGAAACAGTGGTGATTAAAACGTAAGAACAAGGCTATTTTTCGGATTCGGCCTGCGATCGAAACCTTTCCTTGGGCAATATTCAACTCGAATACCCACCTCAGTTGGGCTTCGAAAGTCTAGGACTCAATCTTAATTATCCTCCCCGTAAGCGAACGGAGCTGACCAGGCATTTGCTGGCACATTCCATCCGATCTTAGTGCCTGATGGATACCAATGATATATGATGCCCTTGGGATCTGAATCAGAACACGGCCGATAGAAATGCCAGACCATATTACCTACGATCAGCTGTCATAACCTTGTTACATAAAAAGAGTAAGGGTTGTGATAGATGTGTAGGTGGAACAGATGATGGAGGGGGGGGGGGTCAAGGACGCAGGTAAGAGTCACAACTCTGACCCACAACTCCCTCTCCACTTTCTATTCAGTAGCCAATATCTTAACTGATTGAATAATATTCCTGGCACTGACAGAACCCTGGAAATTGACCTTCATATTTTGGACTTTCACAACAGTCTGTAATGTCAAGGAGCTTACAATCTAAGGCCAGAAACACAAACATATACTAGGCCCAATTAATCGAACCTTTGGAGGGCTGGAAGAAATGCACCCACAGAGAAAGCATGCAAACTCCAGACAGGTGCGCCATGACTGGGATTAGAACCCATGACCCAAGTGCTGCAAGCCCTGAGTGCTAACCATTAACCCACTGTAACAGACAGAGGTTGATCTGGAAAGTAGAATAGTTACATGATTAAAGAGAATGAAGATATATAATTATATTGGGAAATTAGAACTAGACATTCAAAATATTTGAGATCTAAGTTTGAAAATGTTTGACATTTGAAAATAGGATGTATGACTTTGTAACATTCATTAGGAAATGCATTAGTTGGCCAATCATTTTTGGAGAAAAAAAAGGCAAGAACTTTAATAGATCCAACAATCACAACAAATACAGAAAAATATTCTCCTCTGGCACACAAAAACACTAACGGGACAAAAGCCCGCGCTTGTGCGTCACCTAGCGACCATATCCGGCATTGCTCCTATAAATGTGTCAGCTGTTTTCGTATTTCCGAAGAGAACAGTGTTTTTCCAATCAGCTTGCTAGACACTTTTTCTGAACACTGAAAGGTATTAATTGATTGAATTGAGTCTGCCTGAATGTTCAGCATCTGCTGGTAGACTCGATTCGTAGTAAATCAGGGCCAAAATGTCTCCATTACTCCTACAAAACATGTAAGTGAAACGTATACAAATTAAAATATGTTACAAATGGAGGCAATGTAAACTAACCCTAAGGAAAAAAATGTTTGAAATACTTTGAGTATTTACAGTCAGGTCCATAAATATTGGGACATCAACACAATTCTAACATTTTTGGCTCTATACACCACAATGGATTTGAAATGAAACGAACAAGATGTGCTTTAACTGCAGACTATCAGCTTTAATTTGAGGGTATTTACATCCAAATCAGGTGAACGGTGTAGGAATTACAACAGTTTGCATATGTGCCTCCCACTTGTTAAGGGACCAAAAGTAATGGGACAATTGGCTTCTCAATATTGTTAAATGGCCAGGTGTGTTATTCCCTCATTATCCCAATTACAATGAGCAGATAAAAGGTCCAGAGTTCATTTCAAGTGTGCTATTTGCATTTGGAATCTGTTGCTGTCAACTCTCAAGATGAGATCCAAAGAGCTGTCACTATCGGTGAAGCAAGCCATCATCAGGCTGAAAAAACAAATCAAAACCCATCAGAGAGATAGCAAAAAACATTAGGCGTGGCCAAAACAACTGTTTGGAACATTCTTAAAAAGAAGGAACGCACCGGTGAGCTCAGCAACACCAAAAGACCCGGAAGACCACGGAAAACAACTGTGGTGGATGACCGAAGAATTCTTTCCCTGGTGAAGAAAACACTCTTCACAACAGTTGGCCAGATCAAGAACACTCTCCAGGAGGTAGGTGTATGTGTGTCAAAGTCACCAATCAAGAGAAGACTTCACCAGAGTGAATACAGAGGGTTCACCACAAGATGGAAACCATTGGTGAGCCTCAAAAACAGGAAGGCCAGATTAGAGTTTGCCAAACGACCTCTAAAAAAGCCTTCACAGTTCTGGAACAACATCCTATGGACAGATGAGACCGACATCAACTTGTACCAGAGTGATGGGAAGAGAAGAGTATGGAGAAGGAACTGCTCATGGTCCTCAGCATACCACCTCATCAGTGATCATGGTGGTGGTAGTGTCATGGCGTGGGCATGTATGGCTGCCAATGGAACTGCTTCTCTTGTATTTATTGATGATGTGACTGCTGACAGAAGCAGCCGGATGAATTGTGAAGTGTTTCGGGAATATTATCGGCTCATATTCAGCGAAATGCTTCACAACTCATTGGACACTTCACAGTGCAGATGGACAATGACCAAAGCAGACTGCAAAAGCAACCAAAGAAGTGGAATGTTCTGCAATGGCCAAGTTCATCACCTGACCTGAATCCGATGGAGCATTTCACTTGCTGAAGACAAAACTGAAGGGAAAATGCCCCAAGAACAAGCAGGAACTGAAGACAGTTGCAGTAGAGGCCTGGCAGAGCATCACCAGGGATGAAACCCAGCGTCTGGTGATGTCTATGCGTTCCAGACTTCAGGCTGTAATTGACTGCAAAGGATTTGCAACCAAGTATTAAAAAGTGAAAGTTTGATTTATGATTATCATTCTGTCCCATTACTTTTGGTCCCTTAACAAGTGGGAGGCACATATGCAAACTGTTGTAATTCTTACACTGTTCACCTGATTTGGATGTAAATACCCTCAAATTAAAACTGACAGTCTGCAGTTAAAGCACATCTTGTTCGTTTCATTTCAAATCCATTGTGGTGGTGTATAGAGCCAAAAAAATGTTAGAATTGTGTCGATGTCCCAATATTTATGGACCTGGCTGTATTTAAGTTTTTAGTTATTAAAGTTGTTTGCTTTAAGCTAAAAATATCATCTTTACGGCAACTCCCTCTTTTTCACAAATGAAAGTGAAAATTGCTGCTACGGCGAACAGCTAACACAGACAATAGCAAAAAACTGAGAAAGATAGGAGGAAAAAAGCAAAAAATAATACAGAAATACTAAGAAGAATCTTCAAAAAATGAACAGTAAAGACCTAACAGCCAACATCATGAACTTCAGCCTGGATGAGGGAGATCTGGGCAGTCAGGGTTACACTCGAGTCCTCCTACAGCTGTTTGGCTACACAGGCCATGGAAAATCTGCCTTCATTAACTCTTGTAAGTATGTCCTAGAAAAAGGTGAGATCTTCAAGGAATACGCCGAGGCCCGAAAAAAACCGACCACGGACTGACCATGGTAAGAAATGAATATGACCTTACCAACGTGGTCACCATCGTAGACAACAGAGGCTGCAGTAGAATGAGTGATTTTGAAAGAGCTGAAGTGTATGCCCAGCTTGGTGAGTAACATTCGGGGAGCCCCAAAGGCTATGGGACTGGCAGGCTAGCCAAAATGTATAAAATGTCAAATTACTTGTGCCTGAAAATAAATCCAGATGGTGCCCCTTAGCTTGGTAACAGGTTGTTGGTCATTCCTTACCCCTTAGGCCCTTCCCATATGGAAGAAAAATATATTTGAAATATATTTTAAAAATATTCTTCCAAAATATATTGCCATATATTTGAAATCCTACAATTTTGGCCGTATTCAATATGTTTCAAAATATATTTAAATATATATACTACATGTTGAAGTGCATATTTATTATAAAATATATGAAAAATATTTTAAAAAATATTTTTCAAATGTACTGTATGTCTTTTAAAATACAAATCTACATTTTTGGAATGGCGTTTACAAATAAATGTTAAAATGACTTTTTTATATGTTAACAAAAATCTGAAGAATATGTTTTAGAAAAAGGCAGGTAAAGGGCCGCATTTGGCCCCCCGGGGAATTGCTTGAAGACCCTCGATGTAAAGGAAAGGAGGGTTTACTTCCACTTGATATCCGAGTCTGGAACAGAGGGATCCGCCATATTGGAGAACACAGTGCTTTGGGTAGTATGTACTACGCACTACCATTACTGATAAGTCTGAAGGAGCATATGAGTATCAAACATCAAAGTCCCATAAAAAGAATGTAAGCCACTGTGGGGCGCTGTTTTTTTAAGCTGTTATGTGCACTCCAGAGCTGGGAGGCAGCATGCTAAGAATTAGCCAGCTGACAGAACAGCAACTGTCAGATCTCAGCTGTGGCTTGCATCCCTGGAGTCATCCTGAAAGCAAATTTGTTCATTACCCTATAATGTAAGAAATGTATCAATAAACAATGCAGTAAGATTAACCCTAAAACATCAAATCAGTTCATAGGTTTTATATTATTGGACCAATGATGTGTTCCGCATAGACTGACATCCCCTTATCCTTTGTAAAGACCATGAATTATATACATTCAGATGTCAGAAATACAATCTTGTGAAAACAAAAAGTAATTTGTAGCAGCGCACATCCAAGACTCACCGGCCAGGACCGCGCCCAACACACACGTCTTCCCGGCTGCCCAGTAAAACAGCTTTTGCTGGAGATGAAAACAGTTCCCCCCTCTTCACCCAACTATGGGGGGGATTTACTAAAGACTGTGCACTCTGCAGAGCTTGGTACAGGAGGGGAAGCTCTGCTGACTTCCATCATCCAATCATGTGCAAGCAAAAATTATTTTTTCCCTGCATGTGATTGGGTATTCTGGGCAAAGGGAATCTTCATCTCAATTACTAAGCTCTGGAGCTACTGCATTTGCAGAGTGGAAGGTATGATTGCCTTTAGTAAAGCAACCCCAATGTATTTTTCTGGACGTACCTGTGTAACTTGTTCCCTCTGGTGTCACACAAATCCATGGCTTTGTGTAATTGGGCTTTCTTCTGGAGCGACGCACCTATGTGCACAGGGGTTTGTGGTAAAAGTGAGCTCCCAGCATGGAGACTGAGCTCTCATTGGATGCCACAGTGAGTAGGAGAAGGAGAAAATGTAAAAAAAAAAAATCCATTCTACGACACCTCCTTAATGCCGCCAAATCCTGTATCTCGGTACGCTGGAGAGACCCACAACCTCCTTCTGTCACCCAATGGTTGACAAAAGTTGAAGTACTAAATGACATGGAAAACCTAGTTTTTAGCCACCCGTAACCAATAGTGTTGAGCTTGATGCTTGAGTCGAACATAAGTTCAACCTGAACATCGGCCATTTGTGTGTTTGGCGAATACATGAACGGTAAGGACGTTAGGCGTGCTACTCGCCCGCCGCGTCCCACAATGCACTGCACCCCAACAGTGTATTGCAATTGGCCAAAGCAATACACCTGACCACTTCTTTTTTTTTTTTAGAAGTGTCTGCCCCCCCCCAATTAGCTCCCTCTTAGCCCCGCCCCTGAAGCACATTGGCTGTACATGCAACTTTCATTTGAGTTATTTAAATGGAATAAATATTTTTGCTCTTCAACTTTCCTGCGTGACGCATTCTCTTCTCAATTCCAGGAAACTTCATCCCCATCGGGAAGAAAGTTGAATGGAAAAACAAATACAGTGATGTGATGGAGGCCTTGGAAAATTCAGAATTGGATCCGAATTTCACAGACTTCATTGTCCCCATCCTTGTGTACAGGTAAGCGAGTCTTGTGTTGGGAGATGCATCCTTGGAGCACTTTGGCTGCCAGGAACTGGGTGAGGGGCTGATTCTGATGATATGTTTGTTGGTGATATGTTCAGAACTGGAGGTGACCATGGGGGTTTAACCATTTGTGGGCGGCCCATACAGGCACAGCGACACCCCCACCCATCTACTCATGCCATGATTGTACACAGTGGGAGTTTCTCAGCAATGGTTCATGACTGGGACCTGCTGATGGGCTGTGTCCAATCACAACCCAGGGCCCCGTGTTGACAATCCTTTACAGAGGTATCAATCTCTCTGTTTCTTCTCCCTGCAAAGCAGGGATAAGAAAATAAAATATATTTTGTAAAAAGCAGCAGACATGACACAGATTAACACTTGTTAGGCACACAGTCAACCCTTTGATCGCCCTAGATTCCATCCACTTCCCAGCCAGTGTCATTAGTATAGTGACAGTGTATGGTATTAGCACTGATCACTGTATTGGTGTCACTGGTGATGTCAGTAGCAGTCAGTCAGTTCCCGCCCAGCGTCATTTAGTGTCAGATTGCCCTCTGCACTATCACAGTCCCACTATAATTCACTGATCACCATCATAACTAGTATGAAACAAATCAGTATATATCCCATAGTTCATAGACACTATAACTTTCACACAAACCAATTAATATACACTTATTGTTTGTTTTTTTACCAAAGACATGTAGCAGAATACATTTTGCCCTGCATTTATGAAGATTTCTTTTTTAATTGGATATGTTTTATAGCCAAAAAATAAAAAAATATTGTTTTTTTTCCAAAATTTTTTCATTTATATAATCTACAGTTGTGACCAAAATTATTCAACCCCCACTGAAATTGAGTGTTTTGGCCAGTTTGACATTGCTTTTGATCATTCAGTCATCTTGCTTACATTTACATTAAAGAGGCACTTGTAGGTCAGACAAATATAACATAACAGTTATAATGAAATAACCACAAATGTCTTTTCTGTGCTCACAGCATTATCAGTTTTATTCAACCCCCAGTGTGACATTCAATCTTAGTACTTAGTACAGCATCCTTTTACAGTTATAACAGCTTTTAAACGTGAAGCATAGCTTGACACAAGTGTCTTGCAGCGATCTACGGGTATCTTCGCCCATTCTTCATGGGCAAAGGCCTCCAGTTTCAGTCACATTCTTAGGCTTGCGCACTGCAACTGCTTTCTTTAAGTCCCACCAGAGGTTCTCAATCGGATTTAAGTCTGGTGACTGCGATGGCCACTCCAAAATGTTCCAGCCTTTCCCTCTGCAACCATGCTCTAGTGGACTTGGAGGTATGCTTGGGATCATTGTCCTGTTGAAAGGTCCAACGTCTCCCAAGCCTCAGGTGTGTGACGGACTGCATCACGTTTCCATCCAATATCTCCTGGTACTGAAGAGAATTCATGGTACCTTGCACACGCTGAAGCTTCCCTGTACCTGCAGAAGCAAAACAGCCCCAAAAAGCATGATTGACCCTCCACCATGCTTCACAGTAGGCAAGGTGTTTTCTTTTCATCATAGGCCTTGTTCTTCCTCCTCCAAACATAGCGTTGATCCATGGGCCCAAACAGTTCTAATTTTTTTGTTTCATCAGTCCACAGAACACTATCCCACAACTTTTGTGGTTTGTCCACATGGCTTTTGGCATACTGCAGTCGACTCTTCTTATTCTTTGGAGACAGCAAGGGGGTACGCCTGGGAGTTCTGGCACGGAGGCCTTCATTACGCAGTTGTGCGTCTTATTGTCTGGGCTGAAAACTTCTGTACCCACATCTGACAAATCTTTTTCTCAGTTCCTCAGCAGTCACACGGGGACTTCTCTCCCACTCTACGCTTCAGGTAGCGCACAGCAGTCGAAGTCAGCATCTTCTTTCTGCCACGACCAGGTAGCGTTTCAACAGTGCCCTTTGCCTTGAATTTGCGAATGATGCTTCCTAAGGTGTCTCTTGGTATGTTTAACATCTTTGCAATCTTCTTATAGCCATTGCCCTTCCTGTGAAGAGAAATCACCTCTTCTCTTGTCTTCCTGGACCATTCTCTTGCCTTCACCATGTTTGTAACCACACCAGTAAATGTCTAGAAGGAGCTGAGTATCACAGTCATTTTAAAGCTGCCTAATTGGTGCTTATTATGCTTGATTGCTGCTCGGTGACATCCACAGGTGTTTTCAATACCTGATGGAAAGCACCTGTATGAACCTCTGTTCTTCAGAGTGGTAGTCTTTAAGGGGTTGAATAATTGTGGCAATGAAGAAACCACATAAGAACCATTACTACTGTATTACATAAACAATTGATGTCATTTTAGTTGCATTTGGGTAGTTACAACGTCCTTGTAGGATTTGATTCTGAATACAATTCCAAATGTACACTATAGTCCCTAAACCCCTTTACAGCATTGGGGGGTTGAATATTTTGGTCACAACTGTAAATAATAATAATACAAAAACAGTGGTGATCAAATATCACCCAAAATAAAGCTCTGTTTGTATGAAAAAAAATATATATATTTGGATACATTTTTTTCCATGACCATGCAATTGTCAGTTAAAGTAGCGCGGTGTTGAATAGAAAAAAAAATGGCCTGGTCATGAAGGGGGTAAAATCTTCCAGAGCTGAAGTGGAAGAGAAAATCTTTTGATTTGGGGGGGGCAGTATTATTCTTCTTATTTTTTTTATATATTTTTTAACAATACAATACAAACATGACAGCGTACAGTTTGTTAGTATAGTCTGAGAAGCAGGTAGCAGGGAAGTATTATTTCATCGCTGTAAGACAATGGTTCCCTAACTTGTCCGGTGATTGCACTAACAAGGCCGCTTCCTATCAAAGGTTGATAATCCCGGAGTGTCTCACTTTTAATTGTGTATGATATAATAGGTCCTTTAAGCAAAAAAAAAAAAAAAAAAACAAAAAAACATACAAAATATTTAATTTCACTAAAAGTAAATATACAATAATTGTGTGATGTAGATAGGCATGAAAGGGTCTTCTTATCCATTTACATTGATGTCCATGGTGTTCTTCTACTCCTCTCTAGTGTCAGACACAACATACCAGCTGGAGAACAGCAAGACGTGAAACATTTTTTGGACAACTGCATAAAAATGACAGGTAACTTTTTTTTCTGTGTGAATACTTATTTTTGGTGACACGGTTCTATTACCCTTTCCCTTTAATTGTCATCCATTCTACTAACCTTGCTGCCAGCACTTTGGCCAGCATGTGATTGGCCACGTTACCTGTCAGTCAGACACCAGGGGTGGGATTACTGCAGACAGCTGTGGTAAAGGAAGAAAATACTGCATGTGACGCTCTAGAGGGGAAGCAACAGACATATGTGTCACGACCCGCGGTAGCCGCCACCAACAGGCGACAATCGCACAGCCGCGACTAACAGTAATACGTCACGCCCATGGCGTCAGACCCCAGACCTTCTCACCAAACTCGTGACCGAAGGGCTGGCCGATCCAAAACCGCAGTGTGATGCGCGTAACAAGGCCCCACCCAGCTGCACCCTACACAGCGATTGCCCAGATAATGGTCTACAATCGGTGCCTGCAGCCTGAATGCGCTTGTTACTATGTCGGGTTAGTTACGCAACTAACCCTCTACTGCCACCACCACTTTTGTCAGAGACTGGGAAACTCCCGTTATCAAATATACACTATAATGATTGAAATATTGATCTATAAAGCAGAGATATAACCAACCAGTAGCGTCTCTTCAAAGGCAGGGATTCGTGAATTGCAAGTAAGCGCTTAGAAACAGTTTAACACTTTCAGAAAGAAAGATTTATTACTAAAAGCGTCAGGTGAAAATACATATTTACAAAGAGATATCACAAAAATATATATATATGTATATAAAAGACACAGCAAACATAGAATAGCGAGGAAATACAGGGTAAGTTACTTGCCTTGCCTGGTTTTAGCAAATTCAAGATGCAGAGCAGAAAGGTTCTTTTATCTCCTCTGTTACGATGTTACCTCGGAGATCTCTGTGTGTGTGAGTCTCTCAGACTAACTCACTTAACTCTCTTAAAGGTCCCTCTCAAAGGGGAGGGGGGGCTCTGACTACACGTTTTGGGAGTAGTCATTGGGAAACTCTACACTAAATTACCAGCTTCATATCCTGTGATATGAACCATACAGTTGACCTGAGGAATGTTCAGTTCTCGGGTCCATTTGATAAGGTGTGGGGCTTACATAGCTTTGGGTGACCAAAGTGATACGTTTGTAGACAGCGTGTCTCCACTTCTAATATCTTAGGTTGTTCCACCTCATCTGCCAGGAGATAAAGTCTGCCTCACAGGAATGCAGGGGGGATGTGAGGAATGATTCCAGGAAGACCTCAAATACACAGACAGAACACGAAAAAGAGAGTGTAAAGGGGGACTCCGCTCCAACAAGGATGAGCAAGTTTGCCACAATATGCACCTTAGGCTGCAAAGTAAAGGAGTTGCAGCAAATATTCACCAAATGTAATTTGACAATGAGGGGTATATTTAAAAAAATTTAAAAAAATGGAAAAGCCATGCGTCCCTTGAAAGTTCATGTACATTCTTCTGATGTGAATTGGGGGAGGGGATAAATGTTATTAGGCTTTGTTCCCTCCAGGTCAAATGATTTTTTTCATTCATAATAATAAAGTGAATCAGAGAAATACCACATTATGGTCACTAGATGGAGCTGATGGTCATAGGAAATGTTTATTTATAATTATTTATGTCTTTATTTTATTTGTATTTATATACAGTATTTATCTTCAATGATTATCAGCTCCATCTAGGCCTGAAGATTATTAAACTCCTCAAACATTACAGATTTTCTTAAAGCAGATGCCCTGGAGAAAGAAATGGTGGTAGTTTTCATTTTTATTTTTTTTTTCGCAGGATAGCACATATGTTTATCAAATGCACATTTTCAGTAAAATAACAAATTTCAGTTAGTTTTAGTGCACATAAACACATTATAGTACCTGATTTTTTAGTTAAATATAAAGGATGGGGTTGTGAAGAGTAAATGTTTGTTCCCGCTCTGCAGGTGGGACAGCAAAGCCCAGGATACATAGCAGGGGCAGTCAGGAGGGGGCAGTACCTTCACGGAGTATAGCAGCTGCGGATGTGTTTACCCCCCTACCATATGGGCAATTTTGAATTTTTTCAAAAATGTTAAATTCAAAATTTTTTTCTTACAAGAATTTTATATATTTTCAAAGCAGGGGCCCTGGAGAAAAAAATGGTCACACAATGTTTGTGCAGCTGTTTATCAAGCACAAATTGTCAGGAAAAGATACGGGGTGTAAGAGTGCTCACACTGTTCTTTCCTGTCAGCCTGGTGGGTTGCTGGTTGCCTTCAGGCCTTACACTGGGCTGGCTCCTTCCCTGCTGTCCAGGATGTCCTCCCTGGGAGACGGTGGTACATTGGAGGTCCTCTTTTGTAGAATCCTGCCCATAAGTGAGTCCTCTTCCTGGGGCCTCCTCCCAGGCTCCATCTCATCACTCAATCTTCCACCCGACACTCACTGACATCCTCCCCAGGCTCTGTCATACTTTAGGGTTGCCTTGGTCACCATGCCCAGCCTCCTGCCTCAAGTATGGCCTCAAGTTTCTCAGGTTCCAGGCTCCAGAAACCCTGACCTGTCAGAGCCTCCCAGCCTGTCCTGGGTAACCTCACTACCTCAATCCCCAGGCTGACTCATCCCCAGGCTGCTACCCGGCCTCTATCAAGCAAAACTTACCTATATAACCTGGAGGGCATTACACATTCATTGTCTACCGTCCACGGTTATAAATGGCACTGGTATTTTCCTGATTCTCTCTATGATGTTTGGATGAGGAGTATTTGAACTTCAGAGAAAATAGCCTAATAACATTCAATGTTGCCCCCTTGTGCAAAGCATTAATGTACATGCAATTTCACAGGGGTCATATAACATCTCTATTATGTATAGTACTACCCGCCAAGTGCTATACCCCAACTAAATAATATCGTTACTTCTAGGCAGTATTCATCCAACATCCGTGAACCCCTCAATAAGATCATACAAAAAATCACACACAAATTATCACTCCAAAAATATAGTAATATCCAGTGTCATTAAGTCCAAATATAAAAATTTTATATATAATAAGTGCCCACACTCCAGCTTGATATTTCTTTAAGTGTTGAGCCCTTCCACTGGCTCCCACGAAGGCAGAGAGTACCTCAAATAAAGAAAAACTCAGAATAGTGTATTACCTTAATAACATATGTAAATTATAGCAATACCACTATATGATAAAGTGCCAAAATCATGAAAAATAAATAAATCAACACTGTGCAAAATTCAGTGATGTGCTTCACTCTGTGCATGCAACTCCAGTGATCCCACCAGTGTCACTTCTACTATGCAAGGCAAATATACCCTTACCAGAATGAATAGGAAATCACGCCTTATCAAAAATGATAAGGAAACAGCAAGACGCTTCCTCTCCTCTCCTCCACTCCTGAAGCATATCAGTCACAGTACCATCCCATCATGGTAACACATGAGCCTTCCCAGGAACTCCCAGGTATCCATCCACAATAATATATGAATGAGAAGTAATAGTGTAATTCTGTTTTTACAGGTATAAGTATAGCTTTTATTCAATCTGCTTACATGAAACATGAGTAAAACAAGCATAGTATTTGTGCCCCAATCTCTGAGGGTTACCAGGCAGCTTCCAGGTGGATATGTCCGCGGTTCCAATAACAAAAATGGCCACCGTACCACTTCCGGTTCCTGTGGTTCCTGCTCTTGTGCGTCCGTGCGTACGTCACTTCCCTTGACGCGTTTCGTCACATCTGGGACTTAGTCATAAGAGGTTAGTTATTTAATGTTAGTAAGTTAGGGTTAGAAGATACCATATCATTTTTTGTTAATTTCACAGGGGCCCAGTAATACACAACCACCCCTAGGCACAGGCCTGCCCTGTCTAATTAGAAATGCTCCTTTGGTTACTGATATTTCTTTGAGATGCTCATGTGTTCCTTTTTTTCAGGGATCGTTCCGATCATTGTCCTCACCTTTAAAACCTCAGCAGATTACATGGAGATTGAGAAACAATGTAGACTCATGGGGGCGGAGACAGTGATCGCCATTGAGAATTATACACGGGACAGCTACATAAAAACTCTGGAAAAACCACCGACATCCTGATGGTGATACACAGAGCATTGGAGAATGTCAAATTCCGCCTGGAACAGCCAAGAAACCCGAGAAAAGAGCGGATAGATAGGAAGAAATGTATGCTCCGCTACATCAATGAGATCAGCCGTCATCAGGAGAGAGAAAAGATAGAGAGAGAAAGAGAAAGAGAGAGTGAGAAAAGAGAGAGAGTGCCTAGACAGCACACGGAGTCTAGCAATCAGGAGGAAAAGAAGATGTGCAATATTGTAACATGCCAGCCTGATGATAACACTATGAGCTGAAGGAATGTTTGAAAATGTTCGTCTTTAAATAAAAAACTGTCTACAGATATAAAGTTTAAGGAAATAGGGTTTTTTTTCAGCTGCATCGGCCTTGAAAGTGCCCCAATAAGATTGAATTCCGGGCTCTAATGACTAGCAAAGCTCCATGCCTTCCTGCCTCTTGCACATATCTATTGGCCAGTTAGTCCATCAGAGTCAGAGCCCAATGAAATATGGGGGAAGCTGCTCCAGACATGTCACAGCTTTGTCTACCAGAATGGCCTGGACATTGGCCGCGTCTGCAGGATTTTTGAGATGTTTAAATGTGTTTTTGTGGCTTATCAACATATCTGTCTTTAATTGTTAAAATACAATCTACTGAATGACTTAGTCCATCCATGGCTCATTGTGAGTAGGGTCAGTGGTTTATCCTCCATGTTTGCAATGTGTGTGTGGCACATGGGCCCTAAGGGGAATGGGGCTGGCAGCTTCTGCATTGCCAGCTCAGAACCTAAGTGCTGTAAAACTCCCCCTCCCCCCCAACCTCCCTAACCACAACTGTTGCTGATTGCTGGGACCACCAGGGACCACCAGCATCCTAACAACCAATGACATTGCTTTCTTCTCCCCCTCAGCTTTTAGAGGAGGACAGAACTTCCCCATTCAGACTTGCTCCACCTCCCAGCTCCTGCCCTGCTGCTGATTATTAATATTAGTAACACAGAACTTCACAACAACATGAGGGCAGACAGGACAATTACAGCACTATATAATACAGGAGGAATTAGAGGGCCCTGCTCATTGGTGCTTACATTCTAAGAGGGAGGGTCAAGAGATTCAAAAGGTAAAACGGGGGGGGGGGATAAGTTGATGGAGAAAATAAAGGTACAGTTGTTGGGGGGGGGGGGGGCAGGATAGGCTTCTCTGAAGAGATGAGTTTTCAAGGATTGCCTAAAAGCGGACAAAGTAGGAGATAGTCAGACAGGTTGGGATAGGGAGTTCTAGAGGATGGGAGAAGCTTGGGAGAAGCCCTGGGGGAGAGCATGGGGAGGAGGAGACAAGGGAGCTAGAGAGCAGGAGGATCGAAGCAGGAGAACGATTAGGTTGGTATTTAGAGACAAAGTTAGTGATGTAGCTGGGGACAGAGTTGTGGACGGCCCTGTAAGTTGTTGTTAGTAATTTGAATTTAATTCAAATGTAAGGGGGCACATTGATGTAACAGGGTACACTGATGAAGGGAGGGACACATTGATGTAATGGGGGCTCACTAATGAAGAGAGGGGCACACTTATGTAATGGGGGCTCACTGGTGAAGGGAGGGGCACATTGATTTAAAGGGAGCTCATTGATGAAAGGGGGGGCATGTTGATGTAACAGGAGCTCATTGATGAAGGGAGGGGGCCATTGAAGTAACAGGGTTCTTGCTGATGTAAGAAGGGGCACACTGATGTAATGGGGGCTCATTGATGAAGGGAGGAGTATAGTGATGTAATGGGGGCTCACTGATGACAGGAGGGGCACATTGATGTTACAGGGGGCACACTAATGTAAGGAGGGGAACAATGATGTAACAATGGCTAACTAATAAAAACATGGCGGGAGTTTCCACATGACAACACACATGGTAACACACATGGTAACACACATGGTCCACAAACACACATGGTAACACACATGGTAACACATGAATAGGTGCAAATGGGTACAGAGAGTTTCCCTTTTAGAAACACACTAAACTGCAGCTTGTAGATGTGAACCCGCCCCAAAAGAAAGAATTGGATTTCTACATAAATTGCATTTTCATGCAGCAAAATACATGAGTTTCTATGTATGTAAATGGACAAGGCTGAATGGGCTAGAAGGTGGCTGTATCTCCTCCTGACTGCCTGCAAACCTCTGAAAAGTGATCCACCCCAGATCACATTTGGAAGGGGGGGGATGGTTACCACTTTTGCCCAATGTGAAAGAGGCCTAAGGCAATGCTCCTGTGTTGCAGGATGTCTCCATACATGGCAAAGCTTGGTAGTGTCTCCCAATTCCTTACATGTTTTGGGTACATTGGCAGCCCAATATTTTCAATAGGTTAATGTGCAATTGATGCACCGCAAAATATAATTGGGCCCTCTAACGTGGAATTTTTGGCCCCAGCAAATTTTTATTATCCAAAAACATGACGGGAGGATCTTAAAACATCATCTGCCCTGATACATTTCATGGTGATTACATGAAGGTGACTAGGTTCCCTGTGTGGCTGTAAATATTTTGGGTCCCTAGAGATTATGGAATAGCTAAGGCAATGCATTTGATTTTTATGATTTCTGACTATTGATCTGCTTTAAGCCAGGTGTAAAAATCTAATAGCTGGATAGTTACGCAGCAATATAATATGAAGAGCTCAGCTGTATACTGCAATTGGAAGATGTCTATTTACTGTAGTTGTAGATAGTGTTCCACTGATGGTCCCCTCTTCTGGGTTTAGAGGGCTCCTTAACCCCTTCCATACCGGGCACTGTCACCCCCTTCCTGCCCAGGACAATGTTCAGGTTTCAGCGCTCTCACACTTTCAATGACAATTGCAGCATTGTACCCAACTACATTTGTATCATTTTGTTCACACAACTAGAGCTTTATTTTGGTGGTATTTTTTTCTTTCAAAGTTTTTCTTTGTTTCTGTTATAACAAATTGCAAATAAATAATTCTTCATACATTTAGGCCGAGATGTATTCTGCTGCATTTCTTTGGTGAAAATAACCCAAATCAGTATTTTATTATTCAGTCTGTAGGAAAGTTATAGAGTTCACAAACTATGGGATATATCTAAAAATTGATCAATCCTGAAGTACTATTATTATATTTGGGGGTCCTCCTGCACTGCTATACATGTCTATACGGGAGCAGCTCTCATCCAAACATCCCCTCAGGATGGATATAAACAATATTGACACTATGATGCAGCGCTACATATACAGCTGGCTGGTGGATATACCCACCCTATATAATGGATAATAGTAAACATATAAACCATACAATACAATTTTCTATATATGGTGTTAGATCTAATCGGATCTGATTCGGTGATACACAAGTGATAATCAGTGCAGAGTAAGAGGTTCTATAGAACCTATATAGGTGGTATAAGTTTCCTTCCCGTCTAGGGATTGATTATAGCAGAAATGAACGTGATTACAACCACAATGAATCCCTATACAGGGATAAAAAACTACCTCATAGGTGATGCGTGCTATGACCCGTATTTAAAACAAACTACAATAACACATAAAAGTCCATATGAAACTTTCAAATTACTGCATGGTCACTCCAGCCATGCGTTTTCATGCGTGCTCCTGTGCTTGGTGAGAAAGTGAAGTGAGAATCCTACACAGCACCTTCCCACTGCGACCCGCTAAAGCCTTTTGGATCACCCTGGATCCTGCTTGCAATCTCCGGGTGGGACAGGCTCCACAGCCCCTGCTGGTCTCTCCTTCACTCCCTCTTATACCTCCATCCACAGGCGTCAGTATGTAAGCTCATTAAAGCACATCATATGGGACCATAAAAAGAAAGACTCCATAGTGTAATACTGGTATTTATTGCTAAAATAGGATAAAAATCGCCAAAATGTCCACTCACATTTCTGTAGAAATCAACAGGCTTTTTCCACCACTAACATGGGTGTAATGGATGCACCCTGGTGTACCAAGATGGCGCCTACCGGAAGTGCATCACCATGTCACCTCTACGCGTTACGCCACGCCCACATGGCTTTCTTCAGGATCCCATATGATGTGCTTTAACGAACTTACATACTGACACCTGTGGATAGAGGTTTAAGAGGGAGCAAATATCCCCCAAATGACCCCTTTTTGCAAAGTAGACAGTCTGACTTATTTCATGAGAGGCATGGCGAGTTTTTTGAATTTGTAATTTTTTTGTCATAATTTTTTGGAAAATGAGAATTAAAAAAATGTTTTTTTTATTTATTTTTTGACCAATCACAGCTATGTGACACGATTGTATACAATGGATGGCATGAAAGGAAGCCATCCATTGTTTACAACTGTCATTGGTTTACAACTGTCAACTGTGATTGGTCACAGCAGGTCACATGGTACTGGCAAAAGGCCGATACACAGATTTGTCATCGGCTGTGTCTAAGGTACACAGCCGGTGACAGATCACACCATAGGGTGGCCCTGAGATCTAGGAAGGACATCATGATATGGATGTGGATGTGTTAGCAGTGTTAGTTGCTTTTTAGTGTTTAGTTGGTGACTTCTACTTTATTTGCTATTTTATATGGACAGGTGAACAGCCGGGGTCAAGAACACTGGAGTACAAAGCAAACCCAATGTACAGAGAAGTTTGGCCATTAGGCCCATATCAGGGGAGTAATTATAAGGGTTGCAATTGCCGGGATAGCAGGGGCAGCAGTATGCAGAAGAACAGAAGATGAATGGAGAGGATTGGCTCCTTCTCTATGCTGCTCTTCCTATCCAGGTTACTTATTTCCTAGTGCTCCCTGGCCCTATGTGCTCCCCTGGTTCCCTTTTCCCCAGGATGGAGAGGCAGGGAAGGGACCAGTAAAATATCTCATTTACCAGTCTCTCCCTTTTCAGAATGGACAGAGCCAGTGATTGGCACCAAAACTGAAGCACAGTAATCAAAACATTAGTAATGG